AATCTTTCTTTCATTCTAACTCCCATGCACAAAGTATTCATGAAGAACATTTGATACACTTTAATAAACTTTAACGTCTAATGATGAAAATATTTTGCAGGTCTCCTTGAACTACTCAAGCATAAGAATTGTAATCTATTCACATAAAAGAACATTACATATTTTCATTAAATCAAGAGTTGTTTATTGCGCTTAAACAATCCCAATTTTTATGAAAATAACAAACAAAAACACCAAAACATAAACAATCACTCTATAACGAATCTTAAGGAAAACGGTCGACTTATGTGGCTAAGAAGATCATTTACCTTAAAATTTTACAAAACACAAGTCACAAAAAAGATTCACGTATGAATTCGAAAATCACTTAACTAAGATATGTAGCTAAATTAGCTTCAATGATAACCGAATTCGACAAACCAACCTACTTATGAAATCAAATTTATAATTCAACCGATTTAACATCAATTTGCGCAAAAATTGAAGAAACTAGTAAGAATCAATTTTCATTCATAAGGGATTTAATATAACATAAAAAAACCCATAAAGAAACACCAACCATTTTGGAATTTTCGAAATTAACACAACAAGCAAAAAAAATGTAAACTTCAATTGAAACAACATTTTTACAATGAAATGGAGAAGAAAAAGAAATTGACAAATAAGGGTTACCAATTGTTGAAGAAGATGAATTAATTGAAGAAATTGGAGCTTGAACGGAGTTGGAGATCGCCGCCCATATCCGGCCGGAGCTGCAGCCGCTACCGTCCCCGCGCTGGGTGTCGCCTCCTCCACCGCCCACCGCCGCGGCTCTCAATCGTCGATGTTCCCCGTGTTTTCCCCCCTCAATCTGATGATCCTGTGCTCAATTTATAGGCAAAGCTTTTCTTCCCGTTGGCAATTGATTGTGACGAAATTGATGGAGCCGAACGTTGGAGTGTTGAATGCTTCGCCGGTTTATGCTAGTTCCGTTGACGACGACGAAAGAGTCGTAGACTCCTTTTCTTTCTTTTCCTGGTGCCTGAGATTGGATTGGTATGGAGTGGTTGGGCTAATTTCATTAAAGTTGGGTTTGGGCTCCGTCCCAAAATCAATCTATTCTTTTCAAACTTGAACTGCACTTTGGCCTTTTTGCTATACTTTTCTCCAAAAATAAGATATCTCATAACTTGGGTTAGGAAAAATAAAATAAAAATAATAGAATGTAAAAAAGTGATTAAAAAACTACTATTTATGAAAGAAAAATAAAAGATTGTAAAAATAGAAATTAAAATAAAACTAAGCTAAACAACTAAAAATTAAACACTAAAATATTAAAAATGCCTAAAATTAAATAAAAAGTACTAACCCAAACACGACTTATCAACCCCCTTTATGACGCACTGGGCAGTGTACCCATTCATATATTTTTCCTCTATTTCACATTTTGCAGGTCCCGTGTTGTTCGTTTGTTTCTGGTTTTCTTTTCATTATGTTGTCGGTGAATTTCAACCACTTCATGGAATGATGCTTCATGATGTGTGCGCACCTTCTGTGGTATATATTCATATATTTCCCTTTATTTCGCATTTCTGTGTATTCTGTATTGCATAATCATATTTAAGCAGTGCATTAATCAACCCTTATATGTCTCTATTGGCAGTGTACACATCTACAACTCCAAATGAGGACTCACCCCAAACAATGGAAATTATTTCTTCCTGCATAATCATACTTACATAACGCACTTAATACGTGTTTTCAGAGGTTGAACTAGTTTGGTGTCAGTGCGTTACCCATGATGTAGGTACAAAATGGTTTTTACACCATTCACTGGTGTAGATAACCACCGCAGATGTGTTACATTTGCAGCTGGTCTCCTGCGCAGAGAAGATGTTCCTTCATACATGTGGTTGTTCAATCGCTTTCTTGATGCTATGGGTCATGCCCCGCAATGCATAATCAGTGACCAAGACGCTTCTATGGCTATTGATATCCCAGAGGTATTCCCAAAGATAATCCATCGTCTCTGTATGTGGCATATTACGAACAAGATTACGACCAAAGTTGACAATGAACTTGCCAAAGATTAGGTCTTCTTCACAAGGCTAAACTCCGTGATATGGAATCATTACCTCGAGCCTGATGAGTGGGAAAAACAATGGCATGAGGTATTAGTTGATTATGAGTTGGATTCCGATTCATGGTTTTGTAATCTTTTTGCTATTCGTAAAAGCTGGATTCCTGCATACTTTAGAGATTTGTTCATGATTGGTTTACTACGCACAACATCACGATCTGAGAGCGAGAATACTTTTTTTTGGTGATTTCAAAAACAACTTCTTCACTCTTGTTGAGTTTTATATGCAATTTCATGGATGCATGCACTATACGTATTTACACTACATCAAAATGTACCATTTTGGTCCAATACCGCCTCACGCACTTCATGTTCTATGAAACATGCACTCATGGCTCTAATAGTTCATGTATAAACTCGGAAGACCCATAAACATCGGGAAATTATGAATGTTTAAAAACCGACAACTAGTTCTTCTCCAAACTTATGTGCATTATACAAATCTAAACTGGAGTTTGCAATAAAATTGACTGAATTCAACACTGTGGAAATCTCTACCCTTCATTAAACATCTACTACACTGCACTAAAACCATTCCAGAACGCACTAACAACACATAAACTCCTGGAAGAATTTCTGCACCATTCACGTTCCATTAGATTGAGTAGTTTGAACGTCACTTACGTATTCCCAACTAGATATACATTTGACCAAATTCATCACCGTTGAAATATGTACCTCTCATTAAACAAGTACTACATTGCACTTAAACCATTCCAGAATTCTCTAATAACGCAAACTCCTGCAACAATTTATGCCCCAATCACGTTCCAATCCGAACTCATTAATCTTTTTAAATGAAATTCCCCTCCAACACTTGAGAACAATATTTCTGTACTATTGCACAAATAGACCCATAAACGTACACCAATGCATGAATAATATGCACTCTTTTTGAATTCCACATTACACACTCACCCACACTCATTAATTTCTGATTTCACTACTTAATGACACTATTATTATGTGAACTCTATGGAAAATAACAATGCAAAGAAAAAGTCTCATTAAAACACATTGCCATCCAGTTAAGTTAATACGGGAATTCTTCACAAATACCCAAAATTATGTCTATTTGATGCTCATACTGAGCAATAATTCGACACCATCTAGCAAAACGAACAAGCCAGCATTGACTCATTCAGGGGTTGCTCCCTGAATCAAATTTCAAAACGATACGAAATTGGAAATTCTAGAAAAACAAAAAAAAAGAGTTCATAATCCCCATGAAGAGTCAGTCATCAAAAACATGAATTATAATCCAGTCATGTAGTGTTCAACGGCTAAAGTGCTTCACCAGATGCCTTATCTTGTCCTTAACCTCGTTCACATCTGATTCGACGACCGCAGCACAATACTTTGTCCAAAGTGCATTCACCGCCTTCTCATCTCCCTTTTTCAATCCACAGTCCCACCGCTTCAATGCCTGGCCTGTGTACGTCTCTATATGCCGCATTGTAATCACACCATAATCAAATACAGCAGTCGAATCTCTCCATTCCAGTTGCAATCTTTTTGGTTCTTGTGCCGTCAGTTTCTCGACCCGGCCATCCAGACCTTTACTCTTGAAATATTCTACGACCATGTCTCGCTGCAATCAAAGGGATGATAAAAGATTACAATAATGAAATACATTTTTTCTCATCAGATTTTAGCATTTCTACTCATTACATTATAAAAGATCTATATCCCCCTTAAACATTTGGGTGATGCTCTATCAATTTATACTTACAACAACGTTTGGCATCTTGTCATATTTATCAATCTTTGCGACGCCGGCCGATGAGCTGTCCAGGATATCAACCCTATTCCCATTCAGGTTCACACATATGCAATAACACCATCGGTGTTGCATTACTGGGAACAATATCTGCACGTTTCACAACATATTATGCATTTCCACCAGCATATGCATGCAATATAAATGAACATACCAACATCATAAATATTAGTCAAAAACGTATATCAAAAATCTCACCATATCAACGTCACATGGATTAATCAAGCTCCATCCATATTCCAATGCATCACAAACCACCTTAAATGCATCAGCTTCCTCTTCCATCTCCCCCTCACTCATGAACATTTGCGATTGTATTGATTGTATAATAAAATATTTCCAGGCATAAAAAATGGCAGATTTAAGTGTATCATTAGAAAGTAACATACACATGTAATCGTCTTCGCAAAAAAGCGTGCAGGAGATGCAACGCTACGAAACAGTTCCTTGTGATTCAATATAACAGACCAAGCATCCACTACAGGTGGAGAAATGTGATGGCCAGTCGACAACGTCTGAAGGTCTCCGCGTTCAACTAATACATTATACCCACTGAACACAATGTCATTCCTGCATAAGTTTTAAAGTACCAAGATCAAGAATGTCACTTTAAATCATCTAATATGATGCATTGTTTAACCAGAAACACAGCATAAACCTGTCAACATCTTGCTTGCTTAGAACCCACTTCCAAGCATAACATCTTGCTTGCTTAGAACCCACTTCCAAGCATCCATCAAAGCCAGCAACAATCATGCTGATGAATTATGCAATTTAGCACACATACAATGCATATCCAATCATTAATTGTGACTGCTTATCCAACCACACATCATGCATCTAATTAACAAATGAAATTCTGATTCTAATGAAGTCATATTGCACACACTTTTACATCAAAATCACTACAAACTGCTCAAAAAAAAATTAGGACGCTTCAATCCTCCCCCTACAGCATAAAATTAAACAAAGTAATTCAAAAGAATTCCAAGAATACATAAACCCACCCAATACTTCCCCTGAAATTTATGCAAATGTGAGATACTTATCCATGCTAATAAATAGAATATTCTTTTTCAATATATTGCACATAAATTACTATTTCATGGACAATGCACTACCTTGCTTATTTAGAATCCCACATTGCATCCAACCAACCCAGATAATGCATACCCAAAATACTATCTTATAAAAACAACAATCCCATATTATTTTAATTCAAACTCCACAAAAAAACACCCAACAAGCATCAAAGTAACCATCATGCATGCCCAATGCTTGATGCAATCTACAACACCTACTTTGCTCATCCAATTAAAAAACATAATTGCTTCTCTAACCCCACACCATGCATCTTATTATCTGATTAAATCCTGATCTTATAATTTTATATTACACACACTATGCTTCAAAAACACTACAAAGTGCTCAAAAATACAACAATGCTGCACAAAAAGTCCCTATACATTAAAAATCACAAAATCAAGTAAAAAACCATTAAAAACAATCCATCCTTTACTCTCTGAATGATTATAAACTCTTTCACTTTAATTTCAATTCCATCCTTTTCCCCCACTTAAGCACACAAACACTACAATCATGCACAATAAAACCCTAGAAATGCATCATACACAACACCAAACAACTAATGACATCTATAATCCAGCCACTCCTCCTACTCCACCCCCCCTCCCACAAAACGATAAGAAATAAACACCAGACCTTTACTCCACAATTTTTAAGTTCCCCTTTCTCCATATCCCAAAATTAATGACATAAAAATTAAATTATGTGCATCATATTTCCCAAACGCAGCTAGTACACACATCCGAAACCCTACTGGAACACATGCAATAAATTTTTCAAATCACAATATACCAAAAAGTTCAATTCCACAAAAATTAAGCCTAAAACATTACCTGTTTCTTCCGGCGATGTTAACGGCGTAATACTCTATTCGCCAATTTCTTTCTCCGTTGAGCACTCCTCTCCGTTGCCATATATATATATATATATATATATATATATATATATATATATATATATATATATATATATATATATATATATATATATATATATATAGACACACACATACATATACGTACCTAATTTACACATTGAAATTCACAAAACTTTTTAATTTAAAAAATAAAAGTATATTTCAAATAAGGAAAGATAAAAAATATTGAAAAAGAATAACTAAATGCAATAAATACTTATAAAACTTAGTTTAGTTTATACTTCGTATTTCAAAAAAAAAGACAAATGATAACAAAATAGTATTTCATATGTTTGTTAATTTTTTTATATTTATCTACAAAAAATTAGAATTTAAATAAATTATTATTTAAATAAAATATTTTTTTGTAATTCTTCAACACTTGAACCAACTTTTCTATGAATTTATTATTTAATGAAGAAATATAAAAAGTTTATCATTTTTATAACATAATCGTATATATGTTCCGTTCGTGATTTTTTAGTTTTGGAAATCATCTTGTATCGATTCGAAATACCAGACCGATCATTCTATTTGGTATAATACAATTCTTTTTGATATTTTGTCGATTCAATTTTTTTCATATTTTAAAGAAATTTAGGAATTGTTATTATTTAAATAAAATATTTTTTGTAATTCTTCAACACCTGAACCAACTTTTCTATGAATTTATTATTTAATGAAGAAATATAAAAACTTTATCTTTTTTATAACATAATCGTATATATGTTCCGTTCGTGATTTTTAGTTTTGGAAATCATCTCGTATCGATTCGAAATACCAGACCGATCATTTTATTTGGTATAATACGATTATTTTTTGATATTTTGTCTATTCAATTTTTTTCATATTTTCAGGAAATTTAGGAATTGCATATTTGCTCACCCCTAAGGAGAAATTGATGGAATACATCCAGACGGTACGGGTCAGCAATTTTTGGCACTCGTTTATGGCCAGGTTGGAACGAACGTCGGAGAACACGCCGGAGACGGAGGCACGGTGGAGCACATGGGAGGAACTTCTGTTAGCGTGCGCGGTCAACCATCACGGCACCAAGAATTGGGATAGCGTGGCCGTCGAGCTCCAGAAACGGAGTTCGGTTCCAGCGATGATGCTATCGCCCGAGAACTGTAAGCTTAAATACATCCATCTAAAGCGCCGTTTCACTTCCGGCGAAGTGAACGGTGTCGGTTACGAGCATAACGAACGGACAGAGACGGCAGTCCCCTTGCTTGAGGAGTTGCGGAAGCTGCGAGTCGCTGAACTGAAACGCGATGTGGAGCGTTATGACCTCTCCATCCTGTAATTCGTATATTCCTATAATCCGATGCATAAATGTGTATACATATGTGTGTGCATCGAAATTTGAGGATCTAAATGATAATTATTTGGCTTTCAAAGCATTTTTTTCTGAGAAAAATTGAGAGATGTCTCTTCGATTGTGATCTAGGTCTCTGCAATTGAAGGTGAAGACACTAACAGAAGAGAGAGATTGGAGTCAGAGAGACGGCGAAAGATCAGATCTGGCGATTAGTGGAGAGGGAGATGACTGCTGCGAGCACAAAATTGAAGGCGATGCAAAGATAACTCCGGAATCAAACGCAGTAGATCTAGTCACCGGCGAGAAGGACCAACAGTGGATGAATGAATCGATTTCAACAGACCAGAAAGGCGGTAGTAATGCACGAGCAGTTACCTCCGATGATCAGAAACCCTCGGGAGCGGGGCGAACCGGAAATGTAGAAGATGAACCGCGCAAAGAAAGAGAGAGGAAAGCGGTTCGAGCGGATTCCTGTAATGGCAGTTCGAACAGTGTTGAGAAGGACCCGGTTCGCGAGTTGGTGAAAACCGAATCGGTGACGGATTGGGCCGAGTTGTTGGAATCTGTGGCCGAGTCAAAGGTTAATGAGGAGGGCACCAAAGAGAACTCGGACGTGCAAAGCTCATTGAGCAAATCGAGGAAAGCAGAGAGTTCTAACAGGGAGAACTGGCGCAGTCGCAGCTGCAATGAGCGTGGGAACACGAACGAATCTCCAGCCACAAAAATCATGCCTTCTGAGTTTCAACCGTTGATCAATTTTTTAGAAAAGATTGAAAGCCACAAGCATGGATCTTTGTTCACGCGCATGCTCGAGAGCCAGGTGAGAGGGGAATGCCTCTGTATTTCTCATCTATTGGATAGTTCCATGCGATCAATATTAGGGTTTCATCACTTTAAAAAAAACTCCGTATTAGGATTTCATCCTACAACACGTGTCTAACTTTTGTAACTAGTTGCAAGAATATGTCAAATTGGAAAACCTTAAGAAAGTAGGTTCAATTTGGAAATTAGGTATAAACAAAAATCATGCCTTCTGAATTTCAACCGTTGATCAATTTTTTAGAAAAGATTGAAAGCCACAAGCATGGATCTTTGTTCACGCGCATGCTCGAGAGCCAGGTGAGAGGGGAATGCCTCTGTGTTTCTCATCTATTGGATAGTTCCATGCGATCAATATTAGGGTTTCATCGCTTTAAAAAAAAACTCCGTATTAGGATTTCATCCTACAACACGTGTCTAACTTTTGTAACTAGTTGCAAGAATATGTCAAATTGGAAAACCTTAAGAAAGTAGGTTCAATTCGGAAATTAGGTATAAACAAACTCTAGATACCTATACCATACACACACACACACACACACACACACACACCCACACACACACATATAATTCATACTATTCTTAACATGATTAAGTTGAAAAAATTATACTCCATATTAAATACGGAGTAATTCAGCTCCATATTAAAGTGCCTTCATACTTCTCATTTTGCTGTAGAATTAATTAAATTAATAAGTTAAATATTAGTACAGCGCTCTTGGTATTCGGTGAACCAATTATGGCCATGAGGTCATTCACCGAGTTCATAGTTTGTAAGGCGAGGCGAGGCGCCAATGTACCTTCATATCGCCTAGGCGACTAGGCGCGCGCCTAGGCGACGACTAGGCGACATACATACCTACATGTATATATATGTGTGTGTGTGATAGGTTCCAAGCTGGTTGGCTAAGTCATATTATATTTAAGTAATTAGCACTATTTAATTATTTGTTGAGTCTTTTTATTTTTCATATTTATGATTTAATTATTATATAATTCCACTTAGTGGGAAGTTAGGGGTCTGTTATTCCCACTTAGTTAGTGGGAGGTTTAGGGTAAGTTATTCCACTTTGTTAGTGGGTGGTTATAAGTAAGTTATTACTAGCAGAAGTTAGAGTCTCTTTGTATAAATAGACATCTAGTCATGTTTATTGATTATGAAAGATTACATAGAAATTTATCATTGGAGATTCTCCTTGGCTTTATTAGTTATATGAGTTTAAGATTCTTGCTCATATTTTGATAAAGATTTTCCTTCATCTTTGTTATTTATGAAGTTAGATCCTGATTTCATAATTTGATAAAGACTATC